CCAGCCTTGCCCCACCGCACATGCCCTGACGTGCGCTGCCGCCAGCATCCTGCCGCACATCCTGCTGACACTGCCAATCTCCATATTTTTGCCACGGCCCCTGCCTGCCTTCACCCTGTGCTTGCCATTTTGCCTCCCTCCCATGCCACTCCGCACTGACCATGCCGCACAACACACTCCCTTACCCTTGCCCCATGATCCACCAGTGTCGTAACACCGAACTACAAATGAGGCGAACTACAGAGGAACAACGGCGAGACAACCATCGGAGGTTGACAAGAGAAGTAATTGTTGGAGGTTACAAGAAGGTCAAAGGTCAGCGACCTTTAACTTGACAAATACAGCGCGACAGCAAGGACAAACAACTGACTCGAGACTGAGCAGTTGCCCGAGTCGTCACTGTATCGAACCGCAACAGCAACAGTAAAACAGTTAGAGCGTGTTCCTACGACCCCATATCAGGGGTACCTCGTATCAGGAATTGATTTTCGCACGCAACACGTTATAAAACACCTTGTATCAGTAATGTACCGAATCTGTGCACCAATCAAAAGGCTCGCATCACCTTGCACGGACGTGCTCATTGACCAGTGCACTGTAGAGACTGACGTGCAAACGTGAGGCCTGACGATGCGAGCGTCAATGATGCATGCTCAGCAGTAGGACGTGGCAGTCAGGCGCTACGCGGATTCGCGCCCACTCAGCATACATTGCGCGAAATTTTGCAAATGTCGCGGCACGCGCCATAAGGTCCCCCATGCACGTCCGACGATTCCTGATCCCAGCCAACCCCCTCCCACATGACCCTCTCAACCATCGTTTCCAGTGATCGGAGCATACAAAATTGGACGAAGACTTGCTTCCTACCAAATAGCTACCACTATGGCCCGTAAGCGTAAAAACCAGGCAACCACGGCTGAAGAGGCGCCATGGCACCCTGATGACCTCACGTATGTGAAGTGGATGAAGGGTGAACTGGCGAACGGGAGGCCGACGACGAGGCCCCTGCGAAATGTGGGACAGGCGCCTGCGCAGTCCACCGCCAATCGTCAATCTAACCCCGGCCCAAGCAACGTCAGAGCTCGTACCAAGTACGATACGGATGACGACGACGAGGAAAACGACTCCGCAGACGAAGACCCTGCGACTGACTCCGATAATGAAGACCCTGTCGCCGCGTGGCCCGGCGATCCGGAATACAACGGCCCAGTTAAAGATCGCGCCGCTGTTTCGCCCGGCGGCCGTAAGAATGGAGGCCCGTCCATGGAGGCCTGTGAAGAAAAATCCTGTGCAAAGCTAGCGCCAAGAGGACCATAACTATAATAACTCTACACTTGTTTTGCAGAATGGGGAACTTAATGCCAGTTGGTTGAGGAGGATACCAGTAGCGGCTTGTGCGCGTGAATGATGGTAAACTCTTTAGCCGTGCGCGCGAAGAGCCGCACCGCCTCTCGCAGCGCGTGCATGCTGTTGTCGCTGTCGTCCACCGCCACCGCCACCCTCACGTTCCTCTGCACCCTCGCCGCACACACGCACACCCATCGATCCCGTACGTAAGCTAACGCTCAAAAGCGGAGGTTACGCGAAGGGAACTGAACAAGCGGAAAAGAAGCGCAGAGAAGTACCTGAGTGCCCATGTTCGAGAAAGAAAGTTTATCTGAATCAACCGCAATGCGTGAATGCTAACCAGTTATGCAGACCATAATTCTGAAGATAGTGATGCAGCCTGTATAGCAACCGTCCAGTTCTTTGTACAGACGTTCTTCCTAAAAGAGTCCCATTTCCTCAACGAGCAGACTTTTCACGTAAGTCCTAGGTGTATCCCCTCCTCTACAGTCCCCTTTTTGGCGGGAAATCTTGCATTCCCGGTTTGGACACCATCCGAAGTTTGCCCAACCGAACGGATTTAGCGCGCGGATGGTGTCCCTATTGGGGCAGGGCCCCACCTCTGACATTTTGGATGCGATCGGGGTCGCACGCGTCGTTTGCATGTTGCGATTTTTTGGGGGTCACCAACCAATTGGGGTATCGAAATGACATAAAACGACGAGAAGCGACAACATAATGGGCGCCAACTTTAACGGCAGAACCTGCCATCCAGCCTGTTTCAAAAATAAAATGCCCGATTGACTTGGGCTGCCAACTTCAACTTTTTGACTTGGGGGCACCCGATTGGAATCGTGGGCAGGACCGAAGAGTATATCTCAGCGGACAAGCGAGTCCGCCCGCGGGAGCTCGCTGCCCGCGGGCAAAAAAAAATAAACCCCAGAAGGGCACGCATCCGGTCAGGGAGGCATCAACCCTAAACACGGGGAGGCATGGATTTAGGGTTGATGCCTCCCTAGGATGGCATGCCATCCGATGGGGTTTTAGTTTTTTTCTGCCCGGGGCAGCATGTCGTCAAGTCGTCACAGGGTCGTCAGGCTTGACCACCCGTTTTGGCTGAGATTTTCCATGTAGATGTAGCTGGTTGCCTGGCACGTTTGCGCCAAGTCAGCTCCAACGCACTGCAACGCCCCTTTCATGCCACGATCGGACAGTATGCCACTTGACGTGCAAAGGGTCGCACGTACCCTAAACCGTCAGGTCCCAACGTGTCCCGATCTCGAACCGCGTGGCCGAACATTGAAATGTCAATTTTCGAAATTGCGAACCGCGTGTCCCTACTTCGGATGGTGTCCCGACCGGGAATGCGATCTGAATCATTGCACGAATCAGTTCCGCAGCCAATCAGAGAACGCAAATCGAACCAGTCAGAGCATTCACGGAAAATAAAACGAAAGGAAGTTTTGATTCACTATTTACTTTTGCAATTGTGATTGTCTGTTTATCTTGACCGCGCTTGTGTCCAAATCCTGTCGCGCGGTTCCTTGCGAGCTCCGATGATGCCATCTCATTAAACTCGCTTACAGTGTAGAACGAAAAATGTTGTCTTTCATTTCGGCATTAAACATAATTTATTTTGTATTTTTCTGCCCGTTTTTTCCTGCGACACTAATCAACGAGGTGAACCGTGCGACGATAAGTTGAAAACAGCCTAGTCCGAATGTACGTATGTGACAGGAAAACACGACTAGTAGCGAAGGAAAATCGCTCTTCATGCAATTTCCTTATATGGGACTATAAGTTCCCTTTTGCCCAGGGTTTGTGGGTTTTTTACAAAGGCCCGCAGCGCGCGTGTTTTTCACATGGACTCTAATCGAGGACATCTGTATGACCTTGGCGTTTTGGAAAACAGTAGAGTAGCGAGCTCCACGAATCATGATTCGTACGCCATACTGCGTTGTGATAGCACGTGAACAGTGCTGCTCGACACGTGGCAAGCGAGCGATGTTAGAAGTGACGAGGGTATGCGATGGAGGAGGGTAACGGAAATGCCGATGGAAATGACCAATTTGGGACCGAAGAACAGCAGAAAAGTGGCCGAATTAGGGCTGGGTGAGTCGCACCCCCTCGAAGCAGTGCCGAACCAACGCCGCAACTAGCCCAAATCTAAACACCCAACAAGCTAACAAAAGTTTGTTCAGAAACAGGTCAACCCTAAACACCTTGTCGCAAAGTGTTTAGGGTTGATTATCCTTAAAAGCATGCCATCCAATAGGGGTTTATATTTGTTATGGCTCAGAAGATAATAATTTAGGCTCGTACGCATGTTCGAACCTTCGTACTAGGGGTGCGACTCACGCGGCCCTAATTCTGCCACCTCTCTGCTAATGTACGGCCCCTCGATGATCTCTTCCCAAATGCCGATGTGATGAGTTTGCCTGGTTGGCTTTGAAAATGTACTCGCCAAGGTGCTGCTCTATAGTGTGCGGTTTCAGTGGCAAATGAACATAACATTAATACACATAAATATAAATGAATTAGGTCCACTTAGCTTATGTTTTTGTCAGATAGAAGCTTTAAGGCTTCATTAATGGATGCTTCTGAAAGTTTAGGTGACCTAGAAAAGATTCGGACTGTGACCTGCAACACAAAGCAACAATATTTAGGAAGAAATGATGTAGCAACCAAGGGGTGATGCTGCAAGCCATGCAATCCTCACCTAGCCATCTTGATCTGATGACAAGCCTGGCGTGGACTGGTAGCATGTGAGTACTCCTAAGCAGATTTGCCCCACACACCAATCACCCAGTGGTCTGTCTGCACGCCCTGGTACTGCTGGATCATGTTCCCAGCCTGCCATGTACGGTACCCCACAATATACAGCAATGCAATATGCACAGCAGCCAAATGAAAGAAAAGAAAACAAACCACAGCCCAAACGAGTATTGCCAACTACATGCATTCCCCCATCCAACTACCATCAACCAACCTCCGAGGTGAGTTTGAGGGTGGCGGTGGTGCATGTGGTGTAGAGTACAGGGCTGGGGCTGCTGAAGAGGCTTGACACGAGGGTTGACAGAGAGCGCGTGGCGGAGGCCAGCGCCGCCACGCGCTGGGAGCAGGTGTTGCCGTTCTGACACTCCGTCATCACGTTCGCCATAGTCAAGGATATCCGCCACGTGGACATGGGCACATGGAGTCACAAGGATTGAGCCATGATCAGCGCAAACGACGACAGGAAGGAAGGCATAGTCAGGAATGGAGAATGCAGCGTTGTAATTATAGACGCATGCGTTTTTTCTACATCGAATTGAGACTCGTGATAGTCCATGGGGGAGGTGAGGCTGACGATAGGGAAGCAACGGCAGGCATGCTGTGTGGATGTTGGGGAGGAAGAGAGGGGTGCGATGTGCGGAGCAATCCAGCAAGCGTGGAGCCGTGGAGGGGTGGCTGGGGCGATGAGGCCCATTCGGCCGCAGGCGGAGGAACCTGCGTGTTCCCAACAACTACGTCACGCGCAACTACGTTGCTAGCAGCAGCACTGGGAGGCGGGAACTGGAATGGCGGTTCATGCATCTATTGCAGCTGCTGCTCCACATGTCCCTCATGGCCCCCCCGCCCGCCAGCAGCAAGTGTGCGGTGTGACTATAGCAAGGGTGACTGCAGAATGCAAATCAGCTGCTCCCTCGCTGCTGCCGCGCCCAGAAGGCTCCCACTACTGCTGGGCACTTGATCGTTCTTCCCTGGCACCTGACCATAATCCTTTGCAGCCTGGATGGTGCTGCCTGGCGCATGGCCATGCCCAAGCACATGGGCAGGGCTGCTGTTCCTTGCAGGGACCGCATGCGGTGGCAGCGAAAGCGCGGGGCCGAGGGCAGCGAGGAGGAGAGCAGCTGCGCCACCGCGTGCACTGCGGCCGTGGGGGCACACGCACTAGGGGACGTGCTAGCAGGCACACCCACTGCAACAGCCACACTCCTCGCTGCACCCGGTGTAACCACGGTAGCAGCCGTGGGAGGGCGAGGTGTGGCGGTAGTGGCAGCAATGTTGTTGGCCGCGCAAGTGGAGAGAAGCGGTGAAGGGCGGGGCGCATGAGGGGTGGAAGGAGGGTCATCCATGGAGCCACAGCTGCTGCTCACGTGCACACTGCGCGGGCGAGTGGCGTGGGTCGCGGGGGTCATGCGCGATCCGCACGTCGCGGCGTTCCCTTCAACTCGATCCTCAATCCTCGCCATCTCTGTCGGTGGTGAGTCGGGGAGCACGATTTGTCAACAGGAGTTGTGTGTTGGCCCCGTCCTCGCTTGGGCGGAGTCGACCTCGTGGTTGGGTGTGCGGGAGGTGCAGCCGACCTGCTGCAGTAGGCAACGCCGACTTAGGCGCGCAGGTCGGCGGGTTTGGTCGACCTGCACGGGGCCACTGCGAAGCCGCCAATTTTGGGACGCCAGCAACCGACTTCAACCGAGGTCTACGAGGAGGGCTCGTCGACTAGGGAGGGGCGCCGACTTAGGAGGGCGCATGCTCAGGGAATTCAACCTGGCGAGGTCGACCTCGGAGGGCGCCAACCTGGTGACGCCGACCTAGACAGTCTGGTCGACCTAGAGGTGGTTGACCTGCAGTGTAACCGACTTGGGAGGTCGGCTGGTGGTGGCCAACGACCTGGATGGACGACGGGCACGAGAAGAAGCAGTTGGTCGACGTAGTTGCCCGGTCAACCAGGTTACTCGTGCGACGGGGTTCAGCGGAGGAGCGCGATAGACGCCTAGGTGGTTCTGGCGAAGCCAACTTCGGCGTGGTATCTCGAGATCGACGTGGAGGATCAGGTGCAGTCGTGGGCACATGCACTGCCTGGCATCTGCGCAGTGCACATCACGAGGCACAGCACGCCAACCAATTGCGAGCACCTGCAAAGCGGGTGCGCTGCTGTCATGTGGGTGCAACACTGTGCAGCCGCCTTGCTGCAGCGTTGGCACGCTGCCGATTTGCAACGTTGGCAAGTCGCGCTTCTGCAACGCTAGAGCGGTGCGGACTTTGCAGCGCTAGAATGCGGTCGACCGTGCTGCGCTGGAGGTCAACCTGCTTGCGCGCTAGCGTTTGATGTAGTCGTTGTTGCAAATGTTGTTGCTATCATTGTGTTATTCTCTTGCTAGTGAAACTCTTGCCGTTTTGCCCCGGGAACACGCAAGTGCTAAAGAACACAAGGAACGCTACGATTACTCTAACAACCGTGCCTTCCCCGTAGTCTAGCTCTCGTTGTAGTAGTAGACACGGAAGGACCTTTGCCGCGTCCTCCGCTACCTCCTGATGCATGCGGACGAGCAACTCGGCGGTGGCGGGTGGCAGCGGCACATCTTGACGGCTGTCGGGAAAGTTGAGACTCCCCGCCGCATCGCATCGCAGCATCCGCGCCGCCATGTCGTACGCGCGCGCTGCCTCTTCCGCGCTCGAGTATGAACCAAGTGAGATGCATGAACGGCTCCATGGTTCATGGATCTCCGACACCCACCGCCCCCACTTGCACTGCCGCACGCATTTGTAATGGGGAGTGCACGCCCGCGAGCTCCTGAAAGCTCGGCGGAGGGCAGCGGTGGGGGGAGGCGGCGGTGGAAATAAGCGCAAGGGGGTGCGCACGGCGGAACAGGGGCGGAGGATGCGGTGGCCGCGAGGAGCGGTGCCTCGTGCGGTGGCGGAGGGAACAGGCAGATGAGCGACTGGGGCACGGCGGCGGCCCAACCGAGAACTGACACGTCAATGGCGGCAGCATCCGGCCCAGATATCACCTCCCCCACAAGAGCCTTCCCGCCAGGCACGTCGACGCTGACGATGCGCGCCGGCTTGATCTTGATGTGCTTCATGGGCGGCAAAATCACCACACCCTCAAAGAAGGGGGTGCGAGGAGTGCCACGAGAAGCGCCTACAGCGACTATGCTAGTCTCAGCTGCTCGAGGAGGTCGACAATGAGGTCGGTGGGGTCATGTGCGAGAAGGAGGTCCCTGACTGCGGTAACAGAGTCAGGGAGGCGGGTGACTATGAAGTAGAGTGTGATGTACATGGGGGGAGGGTTCTTGGCGAGAAACTCGGCGGGGAGCGCAGCACGGTAGCGAGTATCACTAGTGCGGAGGTGAGTGACTAGGTCGGCTACTGTGGCAAAGGCGGACAGCTCTGGGAACAGGTAGGGCAGGAGAAGGCGGCCTAGAGCAGCAGTGGCCGGGGAGGAGTAGCGAGCGACTACAGCGTCGTACAGTGCTCTAGCTGTCTTATGCTGGCCAAAGTGGGCGCGTTCGGCTAACGGCAGGTGGTTGCGAACGGCTAGGCGAGCAGCAGCGTCATGGGTAAGCCACTGTGAGCGAGTCGTACTGTCAGATGTGGCGGCATGGGCGGGCGAGGCGCCAGAAGTGAGGTCAAACAGCGAAGTACCATCCTTAGAGTCTGTCAGCAGGAACAGCTGTAAATCGTCTAGCCACGCATTGAACTCTATCGGGCGGCCCTCCGAATCAAAGGTGAGAACGTTGAGAGTGGCCATAGCGGGCAGAGTAGTCGGGCGCGCTAGCAGTCGAGCAGCACGCAGGCAGGGCTAGGCAGGTGAGCGCGCTAGCAGCAGTGCAGGAGTGAGCGGCGCGTGGTAGGGCAAGGCGCGCACGGCAGGGCAGGGCGCGCGGCAGGGCAGGTCGCGGCGCTCAGGCAGGGTGCACGGGCAAGGCAGGGCACGCGGCGGCGCGGCGCTCGGGCAGGGCAGGGCGCGCGGGCAGGGCAGGGGTACGCGGCGGCGCGGTGCGCTGGCAGGGCAGAGGCGCGCGGCAGGGCACGCGGGCAGGGCAGGGCGCGCGGCGGCGTGGCGCGCGGGCAAGGCAGGGCGCGCAGCAGCGCGGCGCGCGGGCAGGGCAGGGCCCACGGCGGCGGCGCACGGGCAGAGCTGGGCGCGCGGCGCGACGCGCGGGCAGGGCGACGCGGCGACGCGACGCGCGGGAGGGCAGGGCGCGCTGCAGCAGGCGGCGCGCAGGCAAAGCAGTGCACGCTGCAGCGGGCGGCACAGGGCAGGGCAAGGCAAGGCAGGCCAACGCGATCACAGTGGCGCGACGGGTGGGGTAGCGCTACTCGGTGGGCCCTAAGAAATCGGTCCTAGGCTAGGACCTGCTCTGAAACCATGTCAGAATAACGAACAGGAATGGATGAACTAGCATCAGGATGGGTACAAGTAGGAAACCTTTATTGGGTTGTACCCCATATGGGCTACCCCACTACAGCCTACACAATAAGCAACATATAAGTTTGACACTACATGTTCCACGTCGACCACGTGACGTCATCAGGCAGGTCGACTTCGCCAAAACTGCATGGGGCAAGTTAAGGGTGTTTTTGCACTTTTGGAGTGTGTGTTTTTTAAATCTAGCCATATCACCCCCCTCCTCCCCCCCACCCCCCGTACTTTGGCTGTTTAGGAATATCAATGGATCTACTTTAGGGATTCCTCATGGAGTTGGGCCATTCTCAACATTCATACTTTTCATGTTGAGTAAGTTCTGTCGTATAAGGAAGTCAGATCGCATTGTGAACATGGCTATTTTTTTGTTTTAAGCAACCCTTATTATCAGTCCTGCACCTTTGCAAAACCCTGATTATCAGTGTGACCCCTTGGGAAAATTCTTTTCCATAAGGGTTTTCCATAGTTGCAAAAAAAAAAACCCTAAGGCCACAATGTAACAATTTTCAGAACCATGATCAAGTGTTTCTACTGAAGTTCTAAAGAAAAAAGCCAGTTCTAGGAATCTGAACCCGAGTCTTCATCCTTCCGAGGACCAATCTATTGACCGGACCACTTCAACGTGAGTATTAGAATAGCCTACTTTTCTAATTCATATTTATAATTAAGGGGACAGAGGTGCAGGGGCGGGTTGGGGGCGGGGTGGGGGGTGTGGGGGAGGGGGGGGGGGGAGGGGGGGGGGGGGGGTGGTATTCGCTTCAGGGTAAAACTCGCTAAGAAGAACGGTAATCCTGGGGCGACAGTCTGTCTTAAACGTAAACCCTGGCATACCGTAATATCCCGGATATAAGACCCGGGGGTATTATAAGAATCCCACCCCAAAATTGGGGGGGGGGGTCTTAACAAATGGCTATATTTTATATGACCCGGGTCTTATCATAAGGTCGTGTATATTACTTGTATTTTGGAAGCCAGGCATGTCAACACTATGTGCTCCGTTTAGCATTCAAAAGGAACACGCAAAAGTGAACTTCGTTTTTAGCATTCAAAATTAATATACGGAATGGACATGATGATGAGTAGATGTGCTTTTGTGATTGGCTGTTACCCCTCGTTAATGATTTTTTTATGGAATTTGGAGTGGAAAAGGGCAGGAAAGCTATCAGAATTGCATTAATTGCCTGTGAAATGACCTATTCTTCTTAGAATCTTAGGCATGAAGTTGTGTGTGATTAGATGAAGGTTGGGGTACAAGACTAGAGTGTCGAGAATGTTTCTGTACCCCCTAAGGCTAGCCCCAATATAGCCTAGATACTAGTATGCATATGTTTTGACACACCCCCATAGGCGAAATGGGGGATAGCCAGAGCAAGCAATGGTCACAAGACCAGACAAGAGAAGAAACAAAACACAGCTCAGGGTGGATCACAACGTCACCACACACACTGAGCACAAGCAAACGGCCACAAGGCCAGTCCACATGCAGAGGTATATAAGCAACAAGAACAGCACAGTGATCTCTACCTAGCAAGAGCAAGCATGCAGGTATATATATATAGATCACAGTACAAGCAGAGACTACAGCAAGTGTGGAAACGTAGGCACAAGGCCCAACAAAGTACAAAAGCGCTGATGGTCACCAGACGGAAGTGCCTTGGTGAATATGTCAGCAGTATTGGCCCGAGTGGCCACGTGAGCAAGGCGAAGCTGACCCCGCTGCTGCAACTCTCGAGTGGCCTGTGCCGAGGACCAGGTGAAGCCGAAGCGCTGAAGGACCTGCTGCACCATGTGTGACTGAGTCAGTGTGATGGTGCGGCGTGCTCTGTCCCGGGTGATCTGCAAGCCAAGGTAACTGCGCAGCTCACCCAGGTCTGTGCACGTGTGTCTCTTCTGCAGCTCCGACTTCACCAGACCAAGAGCCTCAGTGTCAGCAGTGGCAAAGATCAAGTCGTCGACGTACACGAGGATGTAGAACGGCGGCAGCGAAGTGTCGGTGCGCAGAAACAACGACGGGTCAGCAGTCGACGGAGCAAACCCAAGAGCAGAAAGTGTAGTCCTCAGTGTGTCGTGCCACTCACGTGGCGCCTGGCGGAGACCGTAGACCGGCCGCCGGAGGCTCCACTGGGTACCAGGAGGGAACGACCCAGTGAAGCCAGGAGGGCGGCGCAGCCAGATCTCCTCGTGCAGACTGCCCTGCAAGAAAGCTGTGCGGAAGTCAAGAGAGTGAAGCTCGTAGTCACGCTGAGCGGCAACGTGCAGCAGTACCCGAAGAGTGGTCATCTTCGGGGTGGGGGAGAAGGTCTGAAAGAAGTCTACTCCCTCTCGCTGACTGAAACCTCGTGCAACGTAACGAGCCTTGAAGACAGGCGGAGAACCTGGCGGCCGCTTCACCCTGAAAATCCACATGCCACTGACGATGTTCGCCCCAGGAGGGGGAACGTCGTCGACGTAAGTGCCAGTGGACTTCCAGGATGCCATCTCTGCGTCCATGGCTGTCTGCCACTGCGAGGAATACTCACCCGCAATCGCCTCAGCGTAAGAGCGCGGGGTCGGGATGTCTGGAGCATCCGGGTCTCCCTCAGGGGCAAGCAGCATGGACACGAGATGAGGCGCAGCGGCTGCAAGACACTCGAGGTCCTCCTGCCTGTCCTCAAGGACGTCCGTGCCAAGAGCACACTCACCCCCAACGGACGGAGGACAGACAGACTCAGACTCAGCAACAAGACTAGCGGCGTAGTCTAGACGACAGGCAGCAGCAAAGTCAACAAGCTCAGCGACGAAGGCAGAGGCAGCAGCAGACTCAAACGACGGGTCAGTGATAACTGTGGCTAGCAGACGCGTGACAGTAGAGTGAGCAGCACGAGTGCGGTCAGAATCAGGCTCAGGAACGGTAGGCAGAGAAGACACAGGAGGGGACGGCAGGGGAACACGCTGCGGAGGAGAGGAAGGACGACGGACGACGAGGTGGGTGCCGGAGACAGCCGGCAGACGCGAACGAGGAACACGATGACCGGAACGACCAGGACGGACAGGCGAGACAGGATGCGACGCTGGCTCACGACGCTCAGTAAGACCCCCTGTCTGCTCAGTGTAAGGAGAAGGAGCAGGCAGTGGTGAGCCAGGCTGTAACGGAAGACCAGTAGATGAAGGGAGACTAAGAACCTGGCGAAGCACAGAGTCAGGCGGTGGCTGAGACGACGGAGACGCAGGAGCAAAGAACAGGCGCGGCTGTGCAGTGCCACCAGCACCAGCAGCTCCAGTACCCCTAGTAGCTCGAGCACCTCCAGCAGCTCCAGAACCCTCAGCGCCAGCTCCTCCAGGACCAGCTCCACCAGCAGCAGCACCCTCAGCACCGGCACCTCCAGTCCCAGGGACTCCAGCCTCAGTGTCTCCAACAGCAGCACCCCCAGATTCAGCACCTCCAGCCCCAGCAGCTCCAGTACCTCCGGTACGAGCACCTCCGGGACCAGCACCACTCCCAGCTCCAGTGACGCCAGCAGAAGTACCTCTAGTGGCAGAGCCCCGAGCTCCAGAAGCGCGACCCTGACGGCGACCGTACTAGTCGTGCAGCTGCTGTGAGGTGAGAGGCACACGCGGACGAAGGCGGCTACTCCAAGGAGACCGCACAACAGCAGACACAGAACCCTCAGCGCCAGCACCCGCAGCAGCTCCAGAACCTCTAGCGCCAGCACCCGCAGCAGCTCCAGAACCTCCAGCTCCAGCGCCACCAGCGCCAGCACCTCCAGCAGCTCCAGAACCTCCAGCTCCAGCACCCTCAGCAGCTCCAGAACCTCCAGCAGAAACAACTCCAGTAGCAGAGTCACCAGCTCCAGCGCCTCCCGCAGCAGGGCCCCTAGCTCCAGCAGCGCGACCCTGACGGTCAGCGTACCACTCACGCGGCTGCTGTGGGGAGAGAGGGAGTCGACGACGAGAGTGCAGCGGCGAGGTACCAGCGGAGCGACTACGGAGACGGCCGCCCCAGGGAGACTGCTCACCAGACGCCTCAGCGCCCCCAGGTGCAGCACCCCCAGACTCAGTACCCCCAGGCTCAGCACCCCCAGACTCCTCACGCCCAGGCTCTGCACCTCCAGTCTCCGCACCCCCAGGCTCCGCACCCCCAGGCTCCGCACCCCCAGGCTCAGCACCCCCAGAAGTAGCACCCCGAGCAGGACCTGAGTCACCAGTGACCTCAACCGGCGCAGGCAAGGGAGGAGGGTCTACCTGAGACACACCTGAGAAAGCACGACCGGGAGCGGGGAGGGGGTCTACCTGGGGAGCGCCTGGAGCGAGGAAGAGCGGCGGGGGGGGGAGAGGGGCAGTGCGGTAGGGGAAGAGATGGTAAAAGGGAACCGACTCGTCGAACGTGACGTCCTGAGAGGGGAAGACACGGCGCGAGGTGGGGTGGTAAAACTGCCAACCGGGCGCGTCAGGGACAAAGCCAAGAAAGACACAGGGAACAGCGCGGGCGGAGAGCTTGTCCGCGGTGGTATCGCGGACAAAGGCACGAGCACCCCAGACCCGGAAACGCGACGCATCGCCAACCTTCCCCGTCCACAGCAGTGTGGGCGAGGTCTCCGGCAAGGAGACACGGGGCCAGAGGTTGAGCTGATGCGCGGCGTGCCGGACCGCAAACGGCCACAGAAAATGGGGGGCAGCCGCATGGATCATGGAGGTACGAGCGACCTCCATGACTAAGCCAATGCGGCGCTCAGCAACCCCATTCTGCTGCGGAGAGGCCGGAAGCGTGAACGTCTGGCGGATGCCGTGCTCCGCACAGAAGGCTGCCAAGAGGTCGGAGGAAAACTCCCCACCTCTGTCAGAGTGCAGACGCAGGACGGGAAACTCCGTCCCGAACCGCTCGCGGAGCTGGAGACGAGCAGTGCGGATCCAAGGGATCAAAACATCAGGGACCTCACCCTTGGTGCGCAAGGGGCGTGGTGTAATGCGTGTAGTCGTCGACGACCAGCAGGAAGTACTGCTCGTGGCCCTGTCCACGGACGCGGGCTGGGCCCCATACGCCTAGGTGGAGAGTCTGCAGGGGAGCCTCTGTGGGAGGGAACGAGGAGGAGTGAGGAGCGGCGCGCTGCCGCCCCTCGAGACAGGGAAGACATGGAGGAGCCGGCGAGGGTGGGAGGGGAGGGAGAACCCTGGGAAGACCAGAGACAAGGACACGGCGGTGCATGCTACGAAGGCGCTGCACCGAGGGGTGACCAAGGCGGTGGTGCCAAAGGAGGGTCTGGTGCGACAAGGCGCGTCACGAGCAGGGGGCCGACAACTGACCTGACGCAGACGCAGACGCAGCTATCTGAGGGGACTTAGTGGTCAGTGTGTACAAGCCCGACCCCGTCTGCTGAGTGAAGGTAGCCAGGTGACGACCCGTCTGAGCACACGTGCAGTGTGTCACACGCTCGTAGGCAGGGGTGAACTGGTGAACACCCGCGTCCTGGAGCGCAGAACCCGCCACCAAGTTCGTAGAGAACGAGGGGAGGTAAAGACCCGACAGTGTGCCGGACGGGACAGCAGGACAAGGGAGGACAGTGGTGAAGGTCGCACGGACTGGACCCCCAGAGGGGTCTGCCAGAGAGACTGCAACCGGCCGACTGAGCGGCGTGAGGGTGGTGCTGTCGCGAAAGAAGGAGCGAGAAGCACCGGAGTCAAGTGTGAAGGTGTAAAAGGCCTCAGCAGGCGCAGTACCAGAGAGAGCAGACTCACCAGCACCTGGAGCAAAAGCCTCACCAGCACCTAGGGCAGCAGCCTCACCAGCACCTAGAGCAGCAGGCTCTATACCTGGGTCAAGCGGTACGCATAGGTAACAGGCACGGTCAGCACTAGTAGGCAATGCATACATGGCAGTGAGAATAGCATCATAGTCAAGAGCAAAGATATCTACCCTCTGCCTAAGCAGCTCCAGCCAGGTGGGGAGCTCAGCCTCGTCGCCAAACTCGGTACGCCAGGCGTCGCTCAGACGGGCGAAGCAGCGGGACTGTGTGTGACCAGGTGTCCCGCAAGGCTGACCAGCCCGATCACCTGTGCGAATGACGTACGGGCAGCGAACGGGACTCAAAGACCCTCTACTCTGAGCGTACCACTCGTGAAGCTGCTGGGAAGTAAGTGTCTCGCGTGGACGCCGCTGCAGCTGCAGCTGGCCACTGCCAGACGCTCCCAACTGACCAGCTCCAGGGCGACAGCTACGACGGCTACCGCCACAACCCCAATTAGCGTACCACTCACGAAGCTGCTGGGGCGGGAGAGACTCGCGTGGATGTCGCTGGAGCTGCATCTGGCCACCGCCAGTAGCAGCAGTAGTAGTAACAGTAGCCTAGCAGTAGTAACAGAAGGAGCAGCAGTAGCAGCGCGGGCAGGGCAGGCGCGGCAAGCAGGCAGGCAGGCAGACAGGCAGGCAGGCAGGCAGGCTGGCAGGCAGGCTGGCAGTGCGCTAACAAGGCAGGTGCTCACCAGGCGGGAAGGGCAGGCGCTCGTCGGGCGAGCAGGGCCGGCGCTCGGCGGGCGGCTGCACGGGGACCACGGGCGGCGTCGCGGGTCCAGGGGCGGCGTTGCGGGGTCCAGGGGCGGCTGCACGGAGTCCAGGGGCGGCTGCACCAGGGGCGGCTGCTTCAGGGGCCCGGGGCGGCTGCTCGGGGTCCAGGGGCGGCTGCTGCAGGGGCCAGGGGCGGCTGCTCTGGGTCCAGGGGCGGCTGCTCGAGGGTCCAGGGGCGGTTGCACCAGGGGCGTCTGCTTCAGGGGCCAGGGGCAGCTGCTCTGGGCCCAGGGGCGGCTGCTCGAGGGTCCAGGGGCGGCTGCACCAGGGGCGGCTGCTTCAGGGGCCAGGGGCGGCTGCTCTGGGTCCAGGGGCGGCTGCTCGAGGGTCCAGGGGCGGCTGCACCAGGGGCGGCTGCTTCAGGAGCCAGGGGCGGCTGCTCTGGGTCCAGGGGCGGCTGCTCGAGGGTCCAGGGGCGGCTGCACCAGGGGCGGCTGCACCAGGGGCGGCTGCTTCAGGGGCCAGGGGCGGCTGCTCTGGGTCCAGGGGCGGCTGCTCGAGGGTCCAGGGGCGGCTGCACCAGGGGCGGCTGCTTCAGGGGCCAGGGGCGGTTGCTCCAGGGGCGGCGTAGCTGGTGCAGGGCAGCGCGTGGGTCCCACAGGTGCCGTGACGGGCGACGGGGGGGCAGCGCGCCGTCACCGGAGAAGGTGACGCGTGGGGCCGGCGGCAGGCTGTGCGGGCGGCTGACGTAGCGCGCGGGGCCGAAAACGGGCTACGCGGGCGGACGACGCGGCGCGCAGGGCCTAAGCGGGCTGCGCGCGGGCGGCTTACGTGACGCGCGGGCCGGCGGCAGGCTGCGCGGGCGGCTGACGTGGCGCGCGGGGCCGAAAACGGGCCTAAACGGGCCTAAACGAAGAGCGTGCGGGCTGCTCAAGCGGCGCGCGCGGAAAAAAAAAGGGCCGCGCGCGTGCAGCCGAGGCGCGCGCGGGCAGCAGGCAAGGCAGGTGAGGTAACGTGGTAACGGTGGGCCCTTATCTTAGGTCCTAGAGACCTCTAGGCTCTAGATACCATCTTAGAATCTTAGGCATGAAGTTGTGTGTGATTAGATGAAGGTTGGGGTACAAGAATGTCGAGAATGTTTCTGTACCCCCAAGGCTAGCCCCAATATAGCCTAGATACTAATATGCATATGTTTTGACAATTCTCTATAGGGAGGGGGGTCTTATAATGTTAGCCCCCATTTAGGGGGGTATAACTAAAACGACTTATTTAGCGTGCCCCCCTCCGTATTATAGACCCGGGGGTCTACAACTGGAGGGGGTCTTATATCCGGGGTATTACGGTATCAGGAAATTCTAAGCTCCAGAAAAAATTACCCTAAGCCATTAGTGTGACAACCAAAAACCACCCTGATTATCATTGTATCAGGGTGATTTACACTGATAAAATTAGCCCTGATTGTGAAGCATCGAAACACCACTTCGACATTTTGAGCCGCCTGGGGGAACTTTGGACGGTGTCCGAACTCTTGGATGCAGCACTGAATGGTTGATTTTATCCATCGTTGCAGTTACTTTCATCATGGTTACCGTCTAAGTTCATTTTGTGCTGTCACCTGACCTAAACGTGCACTAGGTTTGGTTGGGTTGTGGTGTGGTGGGGTGGGTGCGGGGAGAGTGACGAGCAGAGGGATAGGTACATCTGCAATGATACACCCACGGAAGAGGGAGTAGATGGGAGGGTAGGTTGGAAGGCAAGGCGCCATCCACTCATGCTCCTGTGCGGGTGTGTATTTTCCAAGACAATGAAGATGTGGCAACCCCTTGCACGGTTCATCCATGTTACAGTGGGCTATTTATGTGTAACATAATGTATATTGAGAAACCTTCAACTCGTGTTTAACAAAGTTAAAAAACATGGATTCCTAGTTTCCACTATGTATCTGTCTATATTAACCTATTTTCCCTGGCCTTGGTTGTGCTACATCCCTCTAGGCATCTGCGGTCTTGACACGTTTAAAGAGCAGCTTCGTCTGACACAGCTTGCCTGTAGGGCCTGGGTGGACATGGAGAAACAAACGGGGTTGGTTTGACAGGACGAGAAACATGGGGAGCGGGGTATGTGGGGAGGGACACGCGGGGAGGGACACGCGGGGAGGGACACGCGGGGAGGGACACGCGGGGAGGGACACGCGGGGAGGGACACGCGGGGAGGGACACGCGGGGAGGGACACGCGGGGAGGGACACGCGGGGAGGGACACGCGGGGAGGGACACGCGGGGAGGGACACGCGGGGAGGGACACGCGGGGAGGGACACGCGGGGAGGGACACGCGGGGAGGGACACGCGGGGAGGGACACGCGGGGAGGGACACGCGGGGAGGGACACGCGGGGAGGGACACGCGGGGAGGGACACGCGGGGAGGGGCACGCGGGGAGGGGCACGCGGGGAGGGGCACGCGGGGAGGGGCACGCGGGGAGGGGCACGCGGGGAGGGGCACGCGGGGAGGGGCACGCGGGGAGGGGCACGCGGGGAGGGGCACGCGGGGAGGGGCACGCGGGGAGGGGCACGCGGGGAGGGGCACGCGGGGAGGGGCACGCGGGGAGGGGCACGCGGGGAGGGGCACGCGGGGAGGGGCACGCGGGGAGGGGCACGCGGGGAGGGGCACGCGGGGAGGGGCACGCGGGGAGGGGCACGCGGGGAGGGGCACGCGGGGAGGGGCACACGGGGAGGGGCACGCGGGGAGGGGCATGTCAGGTGTGGCATGTGGTGGTTCATGGCAGTGGGGCCTGAGACCCTGTAACGCCCTGTGGAAGCCCATGCATACGGGTGCCAGCATCTTATAGACACACATATGGGGAGAATATGCAAACACGCCAAGATGGGCAAAATAAGGACACCTTTTGTAGTCCCTCTGGGGCTTGGATTGCATATACCTGGGGGTCTCTTTAATAGAGTGAGCTTGGCTTGGGGCAATGGCATGGTGCGGTTGTTGCTCCTGCTGGCAGGAGCCTGTGACTGTGGTGCCACGTCAGCTGAGGTAGTGCTCCGCTGGTGCTCTGCCACATCAGCAGCAGCAATGCTCTGCGGCTGCTGGTGATGCCGTTGCTGGTGCAGGTGTGCCACGTCAGCAGCATGCATGCACTGCTCCTGTGTGGTGCACGGGACATGAAAATGGAATGCAGTAGTTGCACCTGTTCTAAGACATATGTTTTGCATACGTAGGACATGAGACTATATGCAGCAACCACATGCAGAAATCCATGAAGATGCTCTAAATGCACCACACAATGGATGATGACCATGCAAGCCCCGTTGATGCGACACATGTATTGTGCCACATGGCGCACACTGTACCATGTCCAACGCCCCATCGCTCCCCATGCCCCACACCCCATGCTGCACAACACCATGCACCAGAAAGTCATATGCTGACCGACCAAGCGTGTCACATAATAAAAAGCCGCGACATGCGCCATGTGTGCCATACACCACCCCACACCACGTCGTTATGCAACCCATGACATGCTCTGCAACTCACCAACTGGGCGTGCCTGACAATCAGTGATCCATCCTTTTCAGCTGCCCCACGGGCATCATCACCTTTTGCTGCATCGTGTGAAGCTCTGAGTGGTGATTCACAGAGTGAGCTACTTAAAGCTTGGTGCATATCATTGAGCTGTTGCTGGTTACACTGCTGCGGTTGCTGCTGCTGATGTTGCTGCTGTTGATGCTGTTGCTGCTGTTGCTGCTGGACTGGTGGGTGCTGGCGTGGCAGAGAGTGCTCCTGTGCCTTGCTGGGTGTGGGGCAGCTGTGGGACGACCCAAACAGGTCTGCACAGTGGGCTTCCATGCATGCCACCACCTGGTGACGCAGGGAGGTAGCACATTGTGGGGTGGTGTGAACACACAATGGATGCTCCGTGTGTGCCATGCTGCACATGGTGGCATGAACACATGATGGCTATGCCGCGATGCATTGTAGAGGTCCCCTCATTAGTGTAGCACAGGACGGATTAGCCACAATGCATTATAATGGCGCCTCAGAAGTGTGTCACAGGGGGGACGCTGTGCTTGCATCAGGGACAGATGCGGCCTGCAGGGGCTTGTGAGTGCAATCTGAACAAAGCTCAGAGGACAGAGACGAATGCACAAGCAAGTGCAGAGGTGTTAAGCACATTAGGTACAGGTGGATGGGAGATGCATGTACCTGCTGAAACTCGTCCTTGCCAACCCGTGTGGCTTCAAGCAGCCTGTCCGCGTCCATCTTCAGCTGCATGTGATGTTCACATGCATGCATGTATGCACATGATATTCCAATGCATGCATGTATGCACATGATATTCCAATGCATGCATGAATGCGTGTGACAGACATGCACATATAAGGGACATGCCCATGCGCATGCCACACACATCGCATGCACATGCCAATGCAAATGCAGACATCCAAGCACGCGTGACCATGCGTGCACATGGGCAAATGAACGCACAGCAATGGTTAGGCACAGACACACACATGCAAAATTAAAGCCCCATGCTTTGCATCTGCATAACCTCACGCAGGTCGGTGCCTCCCTTTCATCTTGCTCTCGTGATAATGAATGGTTCTTGATTGAGACGACTCATAACTCTCTGCTCTCACCACTGGAGACACCCTCAACAACTCAACCCACCACACCTTCTCACACCAACTCCCACCCCCTCCCCCCCCCTCCCCCCCCATTCTCATTCCCGTCCCCCTCCATCCCTTCCCCCTCTGGCCACCATACCTAAGCCCTGGCGCCACCATAAACACATAAACACACTGCAACTAGGGACTCACACCAGGTACATCCCATGCATTCGCACAACAGAACATGGGAAACTCATGGCGCACTTAATTTCATGTGGTGTGGCAGTGAGTGAGCTCAGCGCAGCTGCCATGAGGTGACCTTTGATGCAATTCAAAAGTATGAGAGTTTACTCAAAAAGTGTGAGTGAGTTGACTCGGAAGTTGTGAGTTGACTCGAACGTAACCAACGGCGCACTTGGTGCATGTGGCTGTGAGCACGAGCGCTGCTGCCATGGGGTGAATTTTAAGGCGACTCAATTGTTGTGAGTGGACTGAACAGAAGCCCACAGCGTACTTGGTTGCGTGTGGCAGTGAGCATGAGCGCCGCTGCCATGTGTGCCGGCCGGGAGAAGTCAGTGCCTCCCCTGCGTGCCTCTGGGAGGGCGGCAGTGAAGCGCGCGGTGAAGCTGAGAGGCGGTAGGCAGACCACCACGGAGGTGAGGTGAGGGGACAGGATGGAGGGGGCAGGAGGGAGAGGGCAGGGAGAAGGGGTAAGGGGAGGGGGCAGGGTGGAAGACAAGGCTTGGAGAGGAAACGAAGCAACAGGGGAAAACACGGAGCTCGTCTCACACAAACTGTGGCACTGCTTCTTCTCATCACGCAGCACTGACAGGTGCACTCCCTCTCCATAAATCCATCCACTTTCCCCCTTCCCTTTCCTCACATGTGCAGGTTGCGTTGGGTGGACTCCAGCACTCGCATGCACCCAAACTGAAGGGCCAACTGGGGTAGGCTCAACTGCGACCTGCACGCGCACAGCGCACAGAATAGTACAGCTGGCATGTGGTGTGGCGAGAGGCATGCGGTGAAATGCACATGACAAATGGCCGGTGGGACATGCGTAGAGAAGGGCATAGATACAATAGATACACAAGCGTGAAGCCTGTAACCTGGCCCAACCCGAGCTTGGCCCAGCGGCGTGACGAAACGTGGTGGCTGTGGCCTTGGAGTCACGCTGCTGTGGCTTGTGCTGGGTCTTACTTAGGAGGCAGGCAAGGGTCACTTTGGGCTCACGCCGCTTAACAGACTGCGGTGCGCTGTGCCTCAAAAGTATATCCTAACAACGGCGCTTACTTGACGCTGAGAGCGGTCCTGAATGGCCGCGCGCGCCCGGGCGCATGTTGTTGGCATACGCCAGGGTGGTGGCCTTGGGCAGTGGCTGTGTTGAGTTGCAGCTTTGCAATTGATGCCAGCAACTGCGCTTACCTGACGCCTAGAGCGTTCTGAATGGCTGCTCGCGCCCGGGCGTATGCAGGTGGAGACATGCCGCTCAGCTTGGCTGCCTTGCGCGCATCCACTGCTGTGCTGCCCATCCTGCCATGGAAACGTAAGGCCATTTTGCCGTTGACACGAGTGAGTGGGGCAGGAAAGCGTGGGAAGGGAGGGGAGGAGAGGGGGGAAGGAGAGGACAAGCCTTTTAGCATAAAGGCTTTCCGAGCATCCCATGCAGTGCCAGCCAGCCTGCGAGTGCATCAGTGCATCGTGGGGTGGTTGTGGTACCTCCCAGCCCAGCCTTCCAATGTCACTGCAGGGCATGGCACCAGCGTGAGTAGTACCCGTGCAGATGGTGGAGGGGTGGGTGTGTCACGAGCGCGTAGGCGGTGATTATAATATTGAGGGTGGTTGGAAGTGCGTTCGCGCTTCGGCGGGTGGTGAGGAGAGGGGGAACGGGGGGAACGAGAGGGAGGGAAGGGAAGAAAGTGAAGGGAAGGGAAGGGAAGGGAAGGGAAGGGAAGAAGGGGTGGATGGGAGGGAGTGGGAGATGGGAACCGGGGAGGGGGATGAGAAGGGGAAAAAAAATGAGGATTTCAGCGAGAAGATGAGCCTTTAAGTGTAGGAGTGCGTGATGTAGGGAGGCAGTGAGGGAGAGACGGAGGGAGGGAGGAGGGAAGAAGGGAGGGAGGGAGGGATTGAGAGAGGGAGGGAGGGAGGGATTTAGAGAGGGAGGGAGGGAGGGAGGGAAGAAGGGAGGGAGGGAAGAAGGGAGGGAAGAGGAGAGGGAGAGAGGGAGGGAGTCAGGGAGGGAAAGAGGGACGGACGGACGGACGGACGGACGGAAGGACGGACGGACAGGCGGATTGACGGACGGAAAAGGGGAGGGAGGGAGAGAGGGAGGGAAAGATGGTTGTTCGAGGGGGTTGTGTTTTGTTATAGTCACAATAGGCTTGAATGTGCCTAAAACGAAAGATAGAGAGCACAGACGGATTTCTGCACAGCGGCTTCAAACGTTGATAGCGTTCTGCTCACAGCTGCAAATGACTTGATTCAAATTGGATCTGGAGCGTCTTCACGTCGTCTACAATTAGCAATTTAGATTGCACAATTTGATAAAGAATTGACGACACAGCGTCGGTTTGAACGAATGGTACTATGGCAGCCACTATAGTCTTAGAACACAAGATAGGAAGAGTTACGAGTTGGGAATGACTCCCAGCTCCTACAAACCCCAAGAGCCGAGGTACAGTGATGTGGAACAGTGCCACACTGTCCCCAACCACGAAGGGTCTCGAAAATACCCTTCACTAGGGCCTACACCAAGTGAAATGTTACACTACACAAAGTAATGTAACTATCTTCAATATCTTGAGGTGTACCCTTTTGGCAAGCTTCGAAATCACTTGAGGCTTGACACCAAGGCTCGGGCTCTTCATCACAAACTCATCCTTGAGTTCTTGATGGGTCTGCTGCACACACCTGCGACACGCCGAACGTTCGACACAGGACAAAATAGAAACCGCGCACGACAAAATAGAAATCGCGCGCGAGACACAAACGACCGCGTAACACGCGTCTAGCGATAACTCGCTATTGACTCGACACACACACTCGACATCATGACTCAACATTCACACACAATTATAAGCATGAAATATATATTATCCCATGCCCTCATACCATTCCATACACACACACATTCACGCACACGGACAACAAGCCGAGTGCAAACCGTAGGGTTGCACCAACAAACTCCCCCTCGGATTGTTGGCCTTAGGATATGTTGCTCTCTCAGTTCAGAGCCATCCCAGCCAGCTTGCAACACTTCCAATGCTGCTGCTCCACCAGCCTCTTGGTCATCATGTCAGCCGGCTGCCCCGTGGTCTTCACGTAGCGCAACTCAACTTCACCCGCGGTTACCATGCTCCTCGTCCAATGCCACTTCACCCTCATGTGCTTCGTGAGTCCATGCAACACAGGGTTCTTAGCAAGAGCAATGGCACCCTGGCTGTCACAGTACAGTGGGGTAGGTCCTTGCTGCTCCTCCCCCAATTCAGCCAACAAACGCCGCTGCCACACAATCTCCCGTACGGCACGGAAGAGTGCCATGTACTCGGACTCCACCGAGCTCAAAGCTTGGTCAACCTGCTTCTTGCTCTCCCAAGCAGTTGGGCCTCCACCAACACAGCATATGAAGCCTCCCACACTTGTCATGTCCTCTGGTTCTGATGCATATGAAGCATCCGAGTAGGCGGTGAGGAACAAACGCCCGGGTTCAACACCATCCGCGCCCTTTTGGCGCCTTTGTGCCGCCGCCGAGTATTGCAGCCCAACGGTCGGTGTTTGGCCAAGATACTTGGCCACCCTCATTCCAGCTGCTACCTGCTCCTCATTAGGGCATTGCACAACCCTAGCCAGCTGCCCGGTAGCAAACGCGACGTCCGGTCGGGTGTTTACCGCCGCATACATGAGGCTGCCCACCAACGAGTGAAATCGGCGCCTCTCCTCTTCTCCAACGCTCTCCTCCTCTGGCCCCTTCACACACTTGAACCCAGAGGGAAAGGGTGTAGCCACATGGCCTTCACTCTGCCCAAAGTTGGCAGCCAATGCCTCCAGGTACTTTCGTTGATGCACCCGCATGCACCGCTTCTCCACATCTCGTTCGATGTGGAGCCCAAGGTAGAAGCTCACGTCACCAAGGGCCTTGCACTTGAACTTGTCTTGAAGCTTCAGCATCACCTCCTTCACAAGGTCAGAAGAGGGTGAGAAAATGAGGATGTCATCCACATAAACCACCATGAAACTCCTCTGCTCCCCCTCGCCAAGCATGAACAAGGAGTGATCGGCCGTTGAGGGAGTGAAGCCGATCCCCTCCAACACTTCGCGCAGCTTCATGTACCATTGCCTAGGGGCCTGCTTCAGCCCATAGAGGGCCTTCTTCAGCTTCCACACTCTGCCACTACCATCATCAAACCCCTCTGGCTGCGCCATAAAAATCTCCTCCTCAAGGATGCCGTTAAGGAATGCCGTTACGATGTCCATTTGCTTTACTACCCATCCTTTGATGGCGGCTCCCGCGAATAGGGTTCGCAGCGTCGTCGGCTTCACCACAGGGGCAAACAGCTCCTTGAAGTCCACCTTCTCCTTCTGCTGGTACCCCTTGGCTACAAGCCTAGACTTGTAGCGCTCGATCTTGCCGTCGGCATCCGACTTGATTTTGAAGAGCCACTTGGACGTTATCGCCGTACGCCCCTCCGGTAGCTCCACCAATTCAAACGTGTCAGTCTCCTCGATGCTTTTCAGCTCACTCTCCATGGCCTTCTTCCACTCCTCAGCATCACTACTCTCCAAAGCCTCCTTGAGAGTTGCTGGTTCTCCCGGCATCTCCACCGGAGAGAAGAACGCGAAGGCACACTCCTCGTAGTCACTCTTCTCGTCGTCTCCGACCATCATTGCCGCTCCGGCCAGGGCTGTCTTGCCCTGCTTTCCCGGCGCATCATAGGTCAGCCTATTAGGGGGTTGAACTCTCCTCTTCCCCCTTCCTTCCTCCTCAGCTGCAGGGACTTGAAGGCCTTGGCGTTGCTGCGGTGTGGCTCGAATCCGTGGAGCACTCGTAGTACGGGAAGGGAGTGACGGTGCACGCTCGCTCACTTGCTGCACCTCCTCCTCTTCTTCCTCTGCATCATTGGCCTCCTCTCCCCCATTCACAAGGGAGGATTGCCTTGTGGTTGTGCTGCCGCTACTCAGCTCCAAAGGCAGCTCCACATGCTCCAAACCGGAACTCTTCACCTCCCCAAACCGCACGCCTATCTTTGCCTCATTCTCCGCCTTCCAATCCTTGTACATGAAGTTCTCCATGAACTTGCAGTCCCTGCTCACCAAGAACTTCTTGGTGAATGGGTCCCAAAGAAGCCATCCCTTGCTGTTTTGAGCCATGCCCAAGTGCACGGCCCACACCGCCTTGGCACCAAGCTTGTTGTGCCGAAGATGCTTAGGCACGAGCGCCATGCACATGCACCCGAACACCCGAAGCATATCCACCTTTGGCTTCCTTCCTAGCCACTCCACATAGGGCACCCATTTGTCTGCTCCCACATGAGTCAAGGCTCTGTTCTTGGCCACACACGCGCTCCGCACCGCATCAGGCCAGAAATAGTCGGGTAGCCCGGCTTCAATGAGCAACCCGCGTGCCGCCTCCGTGATTGTGCGGTTCGCTCGCTCGGCGATGCCGTTCATTGCAGGGGAGTATGGCATGGTGAGGGAGTGCCGAATACCATTCTTCTTCAGCCACAACCCAAACTCAAACGTTGATAGCGTTCTGCTCACAGCTGCAAATGACTTGATTCAAATTGGATCTGGAGCGTCTTCACGTCGTCTACAATTAGCAATTTAGATTGCACGATTTGATAAAGAATTGACGACACAGCGTCGGTTTGAACGAACGGTACTATGGCAGCCACTATAGTCTTAGAACACAAGATAGGAAGAGTTACGAGTTGGGAATGACTCCCAGCTCCTACAAACCCCAAGAGCCGAGGTACAGTGATGTGGAACAGTGCCACACTGTCCCCAACCACGAAGGGTCTCGAAACTACCCTTCACTAGGGCCTACACCAAGTGAAATGTTACACTACACAAAGTAATGTAACTATCTTCAATATCTTGAGGTGTACCCTTTTGGCAAGCTTCGAAATCACTTGAGGCTTGACACCAAGGCTCGGGCTCTTCATCACAAACTCATCCTTGAGTTCTTGATGGGTCTGCTGCACACACCTGCGACACGCCGAACGTTCGACACAGGACAAAATAGAAACCGCGCACGACAAAATAGAAACCGCGAGCGAGACACAAACGACCGCGTAACACGCGTCTAGCGATAACTCGCTATTGACTCGACACACACACTCGACATCATGACTCAACATTCACACACAATTATAAGCATGAAATATATATTATCCCATGCCCTCATACCATTCCATACACACACACATTCACGCACACGGACAACAAGCCGAGTGCAAACCGTAGGGTTGCACCAACATGTTTCAGGGTAGGGGGAAGATTATAACGCGTACAGGTGGCAGGCGATGTCGAAGCAGATGACAGCCTTGGCTACCTC